ATTTCTATGTTCTTGTAAATTGAGCTTTATCGTTTTAGATTTTTATGTAGGTTTGGGCTTTTTACATGGTTTAAGATTTTGGGTTTAAAGTACTGTATTTATGTCTGTACAATTTTTCGAAATAAATATTTATATTTGAAGAAATCCATTTATATTAATTTTTTAAAAAATCATATTTTTTTTAGTCAATTCAAACTTAACTCTTGACAAGAAACAGTAGAAATTTGAGTGTTTTTTTATTCAGTCGTTACCTAATTATCATTTTTATCAGTTGGGAATTGGGATGGTTACATCTTTGAATTGAAAATTATTATAGATTTGTTGTACAAGAATCAATAAATATGCAAGCAACATTGATTCTTCCCAGTCATGCTTAACTTTTCTGCTGGGCAGGGCAGGCAATATATGCTTAGCTTACATCTGACTTGAATAAAGTATTTGCCAAAATTGTTTTAATAATCCATGATTCCAGTTACTACTTACTAGCCTTTATTTAATTTTTTGCTTTTGGATTATCTTGGTGTCCATTTATCAAAATTATTATTCATTGAATCACAAGTTTCATAAAAAAATGGTTTTGCTCAGTTTTGACAATCGAACTTAGTTATATATACATATATATATATGTATGTGTTAATATGTTTGTCTGATGTGTTCTTCACATTTATCGCCAATTCTACCAAATTGTTCCTTCAGCTTCTTTTCTTAGTGGAATTGAGAAAACCATGGCAGGATCAGCAGATTTGAAGCTTTTGGGCACAAGGCAAAGCATGTTCTTGCAGAGAGTGGTATGGGCATTGAAGCTGAAGGGTATTGAGTATGAGTTCATTGAAGAAGACCTATTCAACAAGAGTTCATTGCATCTCAAGTCAAACCCAGTTCAGAAAACAGTTCCTGTTCTCATCCATGGCCAAAAAGCCATACCCGAATCCAAAATCATCCTGGAATACATTGATGAAACATGGAAGGAAAGACCCAACTTGCCACAAGATCCTCTTGAGAGAGCTTATATGCGTTTTTGGGCTAAATTTATTGATGAAAAGGCAATGCTTATTAGTTGCTTTACTTCCTAACAAGCTTTGGAAGGGAAATGATCAACCATTTCTTTTTGTTACATTTCATTATTATTTATTAGAGATTGTTACAACCTTTGATCTCAAATTGATAATGACTACCAACCGGATTAGTGGTTATTTTAAATGATCCATTTTTGTGGGTCAACTTCTTTTTATTATCATTTTTAGAATTATATATACTTTGCCTTCACAAGAAGATTACTGATTTATAGTTTTTTTTTTTTTGCTTAGTTGGTGGAATCAACAATCAAGGCATTTTTTTCCACCGGAGGAGATCAGGCAAAGGCGACTGAATCCGCCATCGACGCCTTACAAAAATTAGAAGAAGAGATTCGTGGAAAAAGGTTCTTTGGAGGTGAAGAGATTGGGTATCTCGATATAGCAGCAGGGTGGATGGCACATTGGCTACCAATTGTAGAGAAAATAGGTGGCTTCAAGATGATGGACTCAACAACATTTCCTTCCTTGGATTCATGGACTAAAGAATTTCTACAAGTTCCAACCATCAAGCAAAACCTTCCCCCATCTGATGACCTGCACAATGGCTACGTTGCTTTTCGAAACGCCATGTTAGGGAAACAGTGAAAATAATGCTTTCAGCATTAGCTTTTAAAGAGCTCAATTCGATACCTCTTTTCCTAATCAAATAAATAAAATATTTGGACCAATTTTACGCATTTCAGTTTATAGTCTTATATATTAATGTCTCATTTAATTAATTTTGATTATTCAGTGCTAAATTTTTTTTTTTTTTTAGTGAGATTAGCTACTAACAAAATTATAGAGCTTCGCACTTAATCTCAAGATTTTCTCGCACTTTACTATATTTTGATGAATTTAATAATGGCAATTAAAGACTTGTTAAGTCTTCTATCTTTTATAAGTACATCTTTAATCAATAAATAATATTCTGTCATCATAATCCAAAAAAAAATTATAATTTCTTTGTGTATATACTAAAGACTTGTCCTATGCTTCATTTCAATGGGACAATGCAACTAACACCGCACTAGCCTCCCAAAAAGACATTGGCCCCTAATTCTTTTTTGTGGCCTTAAACCTAACTAATATAAAGTAGTCTTTTTCTTTAATTTAACTTTTTGCATTTGGATTATATTTGGATACTAGAAGCCCACTTTGAGCTACAATTAAAAAAAGACTTGGGGTATATTAAAATTGGAAGTCTTCTTTTCCTCAATATTCAAAGACTTAGGTCTTCCTCCCAAAAAAAAAAAAGGACTTGTTTTCCTAGTAGCATTTTGAAAATCATGGCAGCTGGAGGCAATTTGAAGCTTTTAGGGACAAGGCATAGCATGTTTACCCAAAGAGTTGTATGGGCATTGAAGTTGAAGGGCATTGAATATGAGTTCATTGAAGAAGACCTTGTTAACAAGAGTTCATTGCTTATAGCATTGAACCCTGTCCATAAAAAAGTTCCAATACTCGTTCATGGTGGAAAACCGATAATTGATTCGAAAATCATCCTGGAATACATAGATGAAACATGGAAGGAAAGACCTCTCTTTCCACAACATTCTCCGGAGAGGGCTTATGTACGTTTCTGGGCGGCGTTCATTGATGACAAGGTGATCACCCCAATTAATTTCATTCATTTTTAGTCAATTATGTGATTTTCATTGCGATCATTTATTCTTTTATCAATTTCTTAATTGAAAAGAAAAAAAAAAACAAAAACATAGTTTAAAGATTTTTTATGGCTAGTTGGATTACAACATTATTGAAAATTTCTGATGTAGTTGATGGAAGCATCAAAGAAGGCATTTGCTTCAACAGGAGACGATCAAGTGAAGGCGATCGAATTGACCGTCGAGGCCTTACAATTACTAGAAGAAGAGCTTCGTGGAAAAAAATTTTTTGGTGGAGATCAAGAAATTGGATTTCTTGATATAGTAGCAGGATGGATAGCATATTGGTTGCAGTTTATTGAGGAAATTGGTGGTTTTAAGGTAATGGATTCAACAAGGTTTCCATGTTTAGATTTATGGACCAAAAATTTCCTACAAGTTCCCAGCATTGAGCAAAACCTTCCCCCACCTGATGAATTGCGCAATGTCTTTAGTGCCATCCGAATGGCTATGTGCCCCAAATAGTTATAAGAAATATTTTGGGTACTTTTATTTATTTTCTTTAGATTCATGTTTGCTTTCCTCCAACTATGTATTTGACTTTCCCTTTCATTTGGATCTATATTGTGATGCTGGTCTTTAGAATTTGCAGTTTTTAATTTGGTGTCATATTATTTAATATGTATATAATCTATAAAAATTTTAAATTTTATGAATGAAATTAAGAATTAACTTGTCAGAGAAAACCAAGTATAAAAACTATGTATAGTCTTATTAATTATAAAAGTTCTCCACAAAACGATTTTGACAATTTTAGAATTTAATGATCGTTTACAAAATTCAATTAGAATATTTGACTTAGAAGTGGGTGGAACCAATAAAAAAGTTTCATGAATTTTTGGGGGGACTCAACTTCAATTTTAGCTAACAGTTTGGACCACAAAACCAAACAGGAACTAAAATCATCAAAAATTTCCAGGACTCATTAATAGCAATGATCATAACGGTTTATATATATATATATATATATATGTGTGTGTGTGTGTGTGTTATTTATTCAAGAAAGCAGAAAATGTATATGTTTTGAAGAATACTGTACATCAATCAAAGCGACCATACAAAAACAAAAGAAATGATGAAATTGAAAGGACTACAAATGATCAACTCCTTAGTTTTGGAAGAGATTAGCATTCAGCGTCTCGATCTTATGCTACGTTTGACAAGAAAGATTAAAAGAGAAAAGGATGAAATCAAATGTTCTGGTTGTGGTAGACACAATTTATGGATCCAATGAGGTTAAGTTCCGATTTGAAAATTCGTATTCAAGGTTTGGTCAGATCATACCAAGCTTTCACGGCCACTCTTTTCAGACACAGATAGGTTTATTGGTGCATAAATCACAGAGAAAAAAAAAAGCTTAAGAATGTAAACATAAAAATTATATAGATATCTTAATTGTCAATTGTAAATTACAAAAAATGATTATTGTAGTTTTGAAGGGGAAAATATTGAATGCACAGAAAAAAAATGGAAGGAAAAACATTGGAGTGGTTTTAAAGAAGAAAACACAATTAAATTGTCAGTTTGTAAGCATTAATTCCAAGAAGTACATGCAAATGGTTATTATTGTTTTTGTGTTTTTCATTTCATTTCTTCTCTTTTCATTCTATTGGCTATAAAATAGCCTGAGGTAGCTTTTGGAGATGAGGGTACCTTTCAATTAGCTCTGATCAAGACTGCGGCCCAAGTGATCCAAACCCTTAATCTCTTCAAACAAATCACAATGCAATCAAGCTATCTTACGAGCTAAGCAATTAACCTGACTAGGTACACGAACAAAGAGACAAGTTTGACATTGGGAGGCCAAATATCTGATATCGTCAGCCATAACATCGCTCTCCAATGAATAAGCAAAAATTGTCTTTACTTTGAACCTCCAAAATGGCCTGCATCTGCATGCTATCTCCTTCATCATCATTAAATTATGAAAACCATTTGCTGTGGCCACTTTTAAACCAAAACAAATTGCCATAATCTAGGCATGAAGAGCATGAGACAGAACTACTCTTTGACATGAAACTGTACTAAGCAAAACTTGGCCAAGATGATCTCTGATTTTGTCTGCTCCAATGAACCAAAGCAATTGGTCGGGATTGAACCTAACTTGAACTTCACAGCCATCCATCCACGGTTCCACAAAACCAAGTAACTAGTTTTTTTTAATATATTTTAAGAAATATGTGTTATTCTGTTAACATGTTGATAAATTTGAAATATTAAATTTTAAATTCAATATTCGATATATGATAAAAAAAAACTTAAATTTTACACAAGAAATTGAGATGATATATAGTCACTTGTCTCTAATATATTAAAATTTAAAATTTTCATAAAAATAATAAAATATACGGCAAATTGTTACTTTGATAAATCTATTCAAAAGATATCTACTTTAACCATTATAAATAAATAAATTTTAGCTCCAATACCATATTAAATTTTTGATTGTCCAATCTAATCAATTAGTAAGAGATGAAGAGTCTTTGTTATATTTATGAGTTCAAATTATTCTTAATTCGATAGATGTAGGATTGTTTTATTGATTGTAACCTTTTTACTCAAAGAATCAAATTTGAATTTTTTTTTTAAATTATAATTTTATATGAAAATAACTATAAAATCTGACACAAATTTTAACATCAAAAGAAGTCTCACTAATCCTAATATTGCATTAGACACTTTTTCTTCAAAACCCACCCAAATGTTTTCCCCTCGTCAATATAAAATGCACATTTGCCTCAGCATAGCTCAGAGAGCCCATCCCCAGTCCAAAAATCAAAGCCTAGTAGCCAACACAAGAGTCCGGGAAGCGTTAAATACATAATAATTAGCTCACGCCAAGTTTCTTCCTCTCTTTCTCTGTGTCTATCCAATTATCTCTCTTTTTTTCCTGGTAAGTTGAAGCTTTGGCAATGGTAGGACAATCAAGGAAATGGATGATACTAGTTGCAACAACATGGATACAGGCTTTTACAGGGACAAACTTCGACTTTTCATCCTACTCTTCAACATTGAAATCAGTTCTTGGGATATCTCAGGTGCAGCTGAATTACTTGTCTGTTGCTTCAGATATGGGGAAGGTATTTGGTTGGTGTTCTGGGGTGTCTCTGATGTATTTTCCATTGTGGGTCGTCATGTTCATGGCTGCTTTCTTCGGGCTTTTTGGCTACGGTGTTCAATGGCTTGTCATCAAACAAATCATTACCCTTCCTTATTTCCCAGTAAGTTCAATCTTTAGTACTTGCTTAAATTGCTTGGTTTCTGCTTCCTGGGATTGTTAATCCGTTTTTACTGAATCTTATATTTCTTTTTTCCCTTTGCTTTCCATTTTTCTTCTCTATTCAGGATCTTCGACTTTCCTTCAGTTTTTTCTTCTTCTCTTGTTCTTGTTCTCAGGGGGTGGGTGGGGCGTGTACAATAAGTCCTTTTCCTTACCGTCTCTTTTTCATTCCTTTTTCTAGTTTCTATCTTTGACACAAATAAATTAGCGAACCTCACTCCTCCACGCAAGCCAAAAACATTAACACAACCTGAAGTTCGTTCCTTGTGAATCTAACAGTGTAAGTTAGTTTGGCAAAGGGTTAACATGTAATTTCATTTTTGAATTATAGTATTCATAGAAAAATATAATGACTAGTTATTCGAATTATCTTTCCGTATCACTAATTAACATGATAGTTGAAATATTGACCAATAAAAATGTATTACATTTTATGAGATTATTGATTATTTTTTATCACATTAATTTATCAGAATTAGTGTGTGAAACAAAACATTTGATGCAAAATAAAATATTTTTTTTTCTAAGTATCAAATTATAAAAGGTAGTATAGTTCACACGTTAACCCTTCGGCTAATGGAAAGTGAAACGATAATATGTGTGCCAATCAGGTGTGGGGGTTGTAGGTTGTAACTGGTGGTTGAAGTAAAGAATAATTTTCAGACCCTTTTAGAACCTTCCTCATCCTTTAGATGCCCACCTTAGGTCCAATATCAAGATGATTACCAGTTTTGGTTTGGGACCTTTTTTTTTTTTTACCCTCAATTGTTTTTCCCAACTAATTTCTGTCAGAATTGATAACTTAATTTAGTTAACACTGATGAGACAAATAGTAGGAAAGCCGTCCAAGAAGAGTTTACCTACTACTTTCACTCCATATTTTGGTCGGTAAAGAAAATTTGCATAATCTGATTATTCAAAGTTAGCTTTTGGGTAAATTAATTTTCTCAAAAAAATATTTTAAATAGATATGATAATTTTAAATATAACATGATTATATAATAAAAAAAAACATAAAATTGATAGTGTAAAGTTAAAAAAAAGGTTTTGATAAAAAATAAAAAACATATGTTATATTTGATTTATCGACATTAACAATAATAAGATCATTTTTATGATTTCCTCGTGTTAAACATGAAATAAACAAATATGAATGCACAAAAAGCCTAATCTCAAACAAATATAATTTTTATTTTCAAGGCACGTCTTGATTGAAAGAAAGTTAGGATATTTATTTATGTGGCAAAGATTCAGTAAAAAACTTGTTTCTGGTGAAGGTAATTGGGGATTTTATGCTGAACTCACTCTGTTTGACATTAGATTAACTAATGTTTGGTACCTAAGGATTAGTTAGTCTTTATATGATGTGATTGAAAACCACTGGTAAATTTTTTAGGATCACTGTCTGCCAGTTAGGTAGCCAACCTTCCATTCAAACCTACCTTTCTTGCATTGGCAGCATGGGCTCATCTCCTATACTCTAGGAGTCACCCTGAACTTGATACAATTTATTCAAAAATTCAACATCACAATGTAGAATAAGCCAGACAGCTTGTGCTAGAAAAATTATGCAATCCCATTTTTATTGAGGAGAAATAACTTAACATTCTTCATATTTCACATAAAAAGAAAAGTTTACATGGCATAAATAGGAAATGAGTGAAATAGAATGATAACAAATCCTTCGTTCGCAGCCTATGAATAAAATTGCTTCATTTGTTGCATATTATGAAAGACCCTTGAAGAGTTGAAGTTGTTGCCATGTCTACGTGCTCGCTATTTGCAGACACAATCAGCAAATAAGGACCAAAGAGGTCAAATTCCACTCTGCAAAATCCCTCATTTCTTAATTAGGGGAAGATACTTACCATTGAGGCAAAACTTACAATTCTATACTAACATTACTGAATGCGTTACTTTATTTTTTGATAGAAAAAAAATTCTACTGAATCCATTGCTTGCAATATCTGGTACCTATCTGTACGTTACAAATGATTCTGCTCAGTCATGCAGACAAACAAATATTACAGGGAGTTGATGGATAATAACCTGGTGGGGAAAGAGGGAGATAGTTGCTTGAGTAAAAGCCTTTGATTAGTGCTGAGAGGGCATTACATTGAAAACTAATTGTGATTTCATGTGAATCCATGGCAGGTATTTCTTCTGTGTTTGGTTGCTGGTTGTA